TAAGTTTGTCCAACTCCCTGTGGTCGTTGCCAAAAAGCCCCGCGTTCATCGCCTGGCGATGCTCTTCCGTTTCACCCCCTCCGGAATGTTCTACTTTTGCAGCCTAATCGCAGGTTTTTCGAAAAAAAGTCGAAAAAACAAGAATTAGTAGAAATGTTCCTATTTTGGGCGGATTATTGATAGAGAATAATGTCTTTATTACAAAAATGCTGAAAAACCGTGAGTTTTTTTGCCTTAGTTATTATTTTATCGACGAAAAACTGCGAACTCGGCAAATTTGGTTGCACAACTTCCCTCTATCATATACACCCAGCGACACCGATGCCAGCTGACTGTGGGCACGACCGACTGTCCCACAGTCAGCTGGCGCATACGTGATAATAAAATAAATACGATATTTACTATATTGGGCCGCCATCTTGAATGCAGCATATACCTAAACAAGTTGTGAAACGCGTTTTTCAGATTCCTACAAATCTGGGCAAAAATACCAATCTTTCACAAACATGCGATCAGTTGGGGTTATATTATGCCAACCGATAACAAAATTCGGCCGAATTCGGCGTTTTTGTGTGGAAAAATCCCTTGCATACGAACACCTAATTACACGAAGAACATAGAACACTTTCCTTTGGTATTTGAAACCGAAATTGTCATCTGACTGTAAGGCCGTCGCTGATTTGTTGTTGAGCTGGAATGACACTTTTTGGTTTCAAAAACTATCAGAGTTCAGCCGATTTTGTCCTTTGTTTTGTGGAAAATCCAATGCATACTGTGCTGGACGCCCTTTCACTTTTAACAGTATACCGCCCTCTTTAGGCGCGGGCGTTACGTTCAGCGTAGGTCAGAGTTCGCTATAACTATTATGGGCTAGAGTCTCATACGCGTACGCCAACTGCGTTTTGTATGACTGAAGATCGCTACATAAAGTCCTTCTAAAAGAACACTAGACTCAGCGAAGTAAGTTATTTTTCTGAATTTATTGACTCATGAGTTGATCAGGCCACCTTAGCTCCGAGTGTCGTAATTTGATAAGTGTATTTTTCGCAATTTCCATAAATTTTTCCGTAAGTCGTTCACGCTCGTTCGTTCAGTCAGCGATGACGTCATTTGAAATGTGATTTCTTTATCCTGTTATAGTTTTCACCGCTTTCTTGAATAAACTGGTTACCCTAACGCAACTGTGTACGAGTTATTTGGGAAGTGGTTGACACCAGTACGAGTACTAATGCACTTGCACCTCGGAATACATACGATGATACGAACACATGCGTACACAAAGAAAATAGAACACTTTCTACATGTCTAGGGGTATTTGAAACCGAAATCAACATCAAACTGTAAGGACGTCGCTGATTGGCTGCGGAGTAAAACTTTTTTTTTTTTTAACCTGTAAAACATTACTGTGTTGCTAAATGGCGTTGGGTAGTTCGATGAACCTCAACATTCATTATACACTAGTTCTGTGTAATAATTATAAATAATAGCAGAGGCACTAGTAGGATTACAAAGATTTATGTGAACAATTTATTAGATTTATGTGATTTTAATAAATCACACTTCACGTCATTGGTCCATAAACTAGTCTGTCAGATGATGTCATATCAGAATTTGTACACACTATGTATATAGCTTGCATACTATGCATTGCCTTTTTATCTTATTTGTCACTTTAGATTCATATTAACACCGCATCAAGTTCATGCAATATTCTGTAAAATCCAAGTATGTGATGTCCTTCCAATTGAGAGCACTATTGCATACGGACATCGTAGAAAATAGCCCGATTACAGTAAATGCTGTGGTACTGTAATCATATTATTTTAACTCGAATTCAAATATTGCCAATTCAACGAAACACTTTCAAAATGATGTGTAAATTTTTGATTCATTCAATTACCATTTTCTCAAAGTAATACATCATTTTCTCAAAAATGTCCCCAGGTCTTATTTAAAGGGAGTTGATAGGCTTTCTGCGTCCTGTTCGATATGGGACAGTGTACAATGCATGTGACATGTACAATGCATGCAAAATACATTGTTTGTTTACATGAAATTTGAACACGCGCTGCGCGTGTGTAATTTTACAAATGTGTAATATTACAAATTAAATGTTTGATCATTTCAAGTTTTCCTTAAAGTTCGTTAAGGTGGAGATGCAGGTTGAGAGACTATATTTTTAATTTGCTCTAATTACTGTAATTACACGAGTAAAATATATTTTTTACCCATCAAGTTATATATCATTTGAAAGAGCTTTATTTAAACTTTCGAGTTTATGGTTTACAATAATGTACTATTATGCCATATTAAGTGGTGTGGATTTTGGGTTAAAATCATGCATTTTAGTTGAAAGTGCACTTAAAACTATTTAACTTTTGAATGCATACCCTGATTTTGATTTAAAAACACTTATTTAAAACTTCTGTTTACTAGGAACAAAATGGCTTATTTATTAGTGTTTCCATTGAAAAGTTTTTACACAGTGCTCTTTGAAACATTCACATTTTATAAATCGTTCACAATTAACACAGCCGCTAATTGGCAGCTCTATTGTGTCTGTTCCAGTGAAGGCAGTGAAACCATACGAAGCCATTTACTTAGGATAGATCTGAATAATCATCCCCTGAAAATTTCATTTAAAAAAATGAACCGTCCAGAAGTTAAATAGTTGAAATTGAAATTTTGAGTAAAAAATGAAACTGAGATAATCACCATTTTGTAAAAAAAGTGATAAAACGAATCATTCGCTTCATATGTGTAAAATAAACTCATAGAAATGCACCATACACCGAAATTTGCTGATGTTAAATCGTCAGGTAAAAAATAGAATAAAAATATTGACAATTCGAGGGAAACGGACGAAAAATCGTTCGCGAAGTCACAACCTTGCGTGAAAACTGTCATGGCGTCGTGTTATAAATTCCACTGAAGGAGGGGCACAATGGATTACGTAAAGCCAGTGGCGGATCCAGAGAGGGGCCATGCCCCCCCCAAACGCATGACGATTCGTATCATCTGGATTACGCATAGCTTCTCTGCGATTTACGGTCAGTATATCTTAAGCGTTCCCCGGTGAAATGGACCGTGTGAAGTTAGACGACCAGGTTGAAATGGGCCGAAATATTTTGCTCCACAACGGCTATTTGCAGTTTGTACTACTCAATCCCCCAAACGCCGGTGAAATAAATTCATTGTATTGGAAATGTAAATGTGCCGCCACAATACATTGTTGACATCGGTGTGATAGTGCTGTCGTTAGGTCAGGTTAGTATTGATACACAGTGGTTAATATAAAAACAAAACAAGTGACATCAATAAGTGTATGTAGCCCTGAGAGAGAGAATGATTGTCTGAGGCGTAAACAACTGTTCACCTTATAGTCTGGGTGCGTGCGTACTCGATATAGTGCAGTGGATTTAGGGTTTGACCCGGAATAGAATAGTACATTAGCGAATTCTGTTTCAAACGTTGGCTAAGATCATTGAGAATGACCCCAAAAAAAACCCAAGACCTAAACCGTTGGGCAATTTTGTTAGAGCATGTTGAAGATTTATTGTTTTTTAGCACTGATTTTACCTGCCACAGATATCCAACCATGCAATAACCTCTACTTACCATTGAAATGTATTACTGTATAGCAACAATATTTTAAAAACAATGAATGAAATATAATTCTGCATCTATAACAAATCCCTGCAACATGCATGATGACGTCATGTACATGATGACGTCATTGCTGACGTCATTGCTGACGTCAGAAGTCCGTCGACCTTATGAAGCCGATGTCTTTCAAAAACTAGTAGTCCAGTCAATCTAATTTGATTTTTAGGTCAACCCAGACAAAATTGCAACAGAGAGTTTCTTAGCAGATTTATCAACAATAGACATCTATAAACAACATATCAAAAGTCTACTAAATTCAGACAAAGGGAAATTTGATTTTTTCAGGTATTGATATTGCCCATATAATGGAAATATCAAGCCATTTTATTGATGCATATACAAATGAATATGGGATAATAATGGTCAATATATCCACATATTTATCACACTTACCACATTTAGTCAGCCAAACATTTTTTTGCGCATGGTGAAGCAAATAGCGCCCTCTGTATGCATATACAGCACAACCAAGTGGTGACATTTTCAGAAATATACAGGGTCTGGTATTAGTCTTGTTTCATTGGTATTTTATCAGTATAAATTCTACGCAATATAGAAAACTCTGCGATTATTGTTCATATATCATTTTCATTATTAAAAAAAAACACAGGAATATTTGGGCATATTTAGATCCATCATTCGCCTTTGCTGCAGTCGGTTTCTATAACTCGCACCTCCCACAAATTAAACATCTGCATAAAAACATACAAATGAATCGTGTTTATCAAAGTATATGTGATTGTATCATGTAAAGATTAGTGATACAATGGTAATATATATGAAGGACATTTCACAGTTATAGGTATGTGGAATGTGGCAATTATCACATAATGAAGAGAGCTCATATCAAGGTTTGATGTGGTAATATTAAAAGAGTGATTGTCAAGACTTGTGAGGTATCGATTATATCAATAAATATTACAGATTTGTGTTTTGTCATACCTTCATTCTGTTTGGGATTGGTATGAAAATAGGTTGGTTGGCCAATCATCAAATCAAGTCAGTATAATTCTAAGTTTATAATATTATAGTTGATCATCATCATCATCAAGATCCAGATTGGGTTAATTTCTACAGCTTACACCTCTACATTCATCACACATGGGTGAGCACTCTAGTCCATGTTTTCTACATGTGCAATGTGTCGTTCGACAGTCTGCTTTACATTTACATCTGATAACTTTTAGTAATTTGTCAGGTGCAGGAGGCTTGTCAGTTTGGATAGCAAGCAATTTTCCCTTCTTCACTTTCCAGCCCCATTCTTCTGGATTAACATGAGTTTGCCCTTTCCACATCAGAACCTGGTGGTATACCCGTTACCTATGGTAACCTACAGCTGCATATGCTGGTGGAATATTCTCAGGCCCTACACATGTAACGCTTGTAGCAACTTTCTGAAAGAATTTTCCCATTCTGAGTGAATCCAATGTTTCATCGGACTTGCCACCATATAAAAGGACCAACGCTTTTTCTCCTGACTCCACAATGTCGTCTTTTGAAGCATTATGTTGGTGAAACACTGAAGCATGACATTGAAACTGCTTGTTGGTTTGAAATTTTTGCAAGGACAGACCCTTTCCTAAGCCATATATCCTGGATGTGGTGTCACAGCCCAAGACAGCATGTATAAATAATATGTTTTTGCAAGTAAGTGGTCCTAGTTTGTTTGGTATGTTTTATGTCCCACACTTTGACTTCGTTTTTTGTATTTCGCCGTGCCTCTGGTTTTAAATACAGTTTGTGACTATTTAAGTTGCCATGGTAGATCAACAACACTAACAAGTCCGTGTCCTCACCAACAACTACCGTTGGTGCATTGACAGCAGAGTCTACAGCTGTCATCACTATAAGGACATTTGCATCTTCTTCAGCATGTCGAACCTTGATTCCCTGCACTTCCAGTTCAGTTCCCAGGATATTATGAATCACTGCTTATTTGCTGCATTTGCAAGGAACTGTTGTTTTTTCATATTCATAACCATGTCAGAATCAAAGTTTACACTAGTAGACATTTTCCCTATTGAACGCCTAAGATGAGTTGTGTCTTTTGTTGATGGTCTATCAAAAACAACTGTTGATTATTTAATTACCATATTTTCGGTCAATGTAATCAAGGTAAAGTTTGCAGATTCCCTTATATTTTAGTCCTCGTGGCCATGGAATTCTCCATCAATAACATACCTAACCTCAATGGACATGTCATTAGTAATGGGACCAAAACATTTCCAGACTGCTTCGGCTAAAGCTGGCTTGTTTGCTTCCCGCATCAGTCCATCAGAGGCAAACAATGCTGGTGGATGAGTACACAGCTCGAAGGTGAAAAGACTGGACAACTCGTATGTTGATACAATTCCCATTGCAATGGAAACAAGTCTTTGAAATAACAACTGGAGATCAACTTGTACTTCATCTGCATCAAGCTTTAATGATGTTTTCACACTTAATGTTTTAGCCTGTCCTTTTTTAGTGAATGAAAAATCACTCGCGCTTTTTCCAATCATAGACTTTATTGTTTCAGCACCAATAGACCTAGCATTATCGACATTTACTGTGTCATCAGCAACAACTCCAGTAGCTATACTACATAGAGAAGAGTTGTTTGTGAATGAATTTCTTGCACGAAGAAACTGTACCAACTCCACTAGGTCATTATGATCTCTAATTTGCCTGGTCTTTGCACTCTCTTTGTGTTGCTCACTTGTGATGTAAAAAACACCAGTGTACTCTTGCATTGCACGGTTGACTTCTGCACATACAGGTGTTGAGAGTAGCCAAAACGGTACGTTGTATTTCTGACATACCTCTACCCCTTGTCAGCACACCACTTGTTTTGACACTCCTCATCAACACTTGTTCAATTGCAAGATCAGTCGATATACCTGCCTAGTACCTGTCTGTCCGCCTAACCACATGGTATCCATTCAAGAATGATCGAAACACATTACTTTCTGGTAGTTTTGACATAATCTGATATATGTACATTGACTTTGCATAAAGATTATGACCAGATGCTGCAAAGTATGGAAGCATGTCTGACAAAGCTTTTAGATGGAGAGAGCAGTTACCAGTTCTTTCAGCTTTAATGAACTGCTGAAGTATTTCAATCATCTCTATGTACTGTAACCATAACTTGGATGTTATTAGGGAAGCGAGTGTTTCCGTAAATTGGTTGATTTTTTCCTGTATTAGAGCCAGTACTTCCTCCAAACAAACCAATTCTATCTCTGTCTCATGTGCATGCAGCCTCTCTAGGATGGTCCCTGCTTCTTTCAACTCATTTGTTGTATCTTCTGTTTGTGACTGATTTGCATTACTGGAATTGCCATATTCGGGTATATCTGTTAATTCACTAGCACTGGTATCTTCTTTAATGTCTGATTCTTTTCTTGGTCATGGAAGATCATACATCATTGACTGCCCTTGAAATGGCATTGCCACTCAACATATGTCCAACAGCATTCTCGGCATATATTGTCTCCAAAAGTTCCTTAAGTCCAGATCCACTCATCAAACTCATTTGCACATGCAGACCCCCAGTCTGAGAACAATATTCCTCACATTGCTACTTGTGGGCTCATTCTGTTGGATTTCCAGTGATTTCCACCACAAAGGCTGGTCGAAGGTGAGCACTGGTGTTACATCATACTTCTTGGCTTGTTCACTGATGAAGCACATAGTTGAGAAGATACATGGTTCATATCGATTGGCATAAATATTATAGATGAAACCCCAGGATGAAGACCTTGATGTACCATTTGCATATAGCCATTCCAAGATGGTCTAGATGGATGTAACAACCAAGAGATTTTCCACAGAAGATCCACATTCAATGTATCATCACCTGCTATCAAACTGGGTAACTGGGCATACTTTAATTTGGCCATGCCCTTTGATAACTGCTTATAATATTTAATATTGACTTTTGCAACAGAAACTACATCCCGGATGTGACAAGAACTTTAGGTATGGCGTTGTTCCACAATATCCCTGGTGTTATTATGCCCATACCATGAAATGTGTTCAGCCCGTCAATGGTCTGGACATTATGGTCAACATTATCAGCAACATGTTGTATAAAATGTCCGGGTGTGAAACCAGGAATGTCAGTTCCTTGGTGCAAGGTGGCACTACGTTCAAACTTCTGTACCTCTGCATATGATGAACAAAACCCATGACTATGGAGAGAATAAATGAGAAATCGTCAGCTAAACTGGCGATGCATTTGAACAGCAAGTCCTATTTGTAGTGGAGTCACTATAACTTGTGGGCGAACTGACTGCATTTTGGCCTGCCCTATGGATGCCACCTTAACATCAGTGTCTTTTCCAACAAACATATCTTAAAGTAAAACTTTCAGGGTGGATGGAAGGTACTCAATGGCTTTCTCAGTGCTTTGCATTTCTTCAGTGTTTGGGTATAAATGACTCGTTGTGCTGGACGATTTTATATCATTTTTAATAAGTTGTGCAACCGTTTTAATGAGCCGATTTTTTT